TTTCTAGGCACAAGAGTCGATTCCCACATTACTTGGAGCTTGGCTTTAGGTGTTCAGTTTGCAAGAGGCAGAGCTCCTGCATTTTCTTTTCTATTTATTATAATGTCACATCACAGTGTACAAAAAAAAAAAGGGTGGCTTTATCCCTTTCCTCCAGATTCATCAACCTCTACAGTCAGTGATTCCTCCCCTTTATGCCCTGTCCCCAGTTGTATGAGGTTCAACAAGGCCCAGTTGCAGGACCCAGAACTGAGTCACAACCACCCCATGCAAGGCTATAGCCTTTGGGGAAAGTGGCTAATAAGCTGCCCAACACAAAAGGACCTGGGGTCTCAGTCAACAACCAGCTGAACGTGAGCCAGCTTGTTCCCAGACAGCCAAGAAGGCCAACAGCAGTGATCATCCCCCTCTACTCAGTGCCGGCGATGCTGCACCTTGAATACTGTGTTCAGTTTTGGGTACATCCTTACAAGAGAGATATTGAGGTGCTGGAGAGGGTCCAAGAAGGGCAATGAAGCTGGTAAAGGGTCTGGAGCACCAGTCTTATGAAGAATGGCTGAGGGAACTGGGCTTGTTTAAGCCTGGAGAAAAGGCAGCTCAGGGGAGAACTTGTTGCTCTCTACATCCACCTGAAAGGAGGTTGTAGCAAGGTCAGTATCTTCTCCCAGGTAACAAGCAATAGGACAAGAGAAAACAGCCTGAAATTGCACCAGGGGAGGTTTAGATTGGATATGAGAAAAAAAATCTATTCACTGAAAAGGTTGTCAAGAGCTGGAACAGGCTGCCCAGGGAAGCAGTTGTGTCACCTGGAGGTATTTAAAGTCAGCCAGAGGGGGTGGTTAGGGACATGGTTTAGTGTTGGACTTGGCAGCGGTGGGTTAACAGCTGGACTTGATCTTAAAGATCTTTTCCAACCTAAACAATTCTAAGATTCTAAGTACAAATTAGCTGCCTGCACCTTCAATAGATATTTCTTCCGATATATCTCTAATGGCGTATTCACTCAAATAGTCCCAGTGAAATTCTTGTCATTGTTGAGCATGTTTCCTAGATCCTTTCCTCTTTGCTTTATGCGTTTTCACTTCTTCGTGAAGATGCTTAATGCAGTATAATTGAAACAATTTTATTGTCTCCAGCCATCCATTCTACCGTTACAGTGGCGGAAAATACTGGTCAATTTGACAAGTTAATATTACTCCAGTGGTCATTTGAACTCCTTTAAGCCACTGGGTGCTAAAATTACTTGTCATCTTCCTTCACCTGCAAACTGAATATAACTGGTCCATGAGAAAAGGAGAATAAGAAGTTCTCTCCACCAAAAACGTTTACTGAAAGAGATAATTACAATTCTTACTAATTGACAGAGCACTGACTGTTCCTAAACAGTTCCGAACCACTTGAGAGCAACACTTGGTACTCTCACCTGGAGCTTCACTGATGCCTTCAAACTGACTTTTCTTCTTCCCACAGGGTTGGATCAAAGACAAATCAAAGTTATTTCAATTTTTCCTTTTGTATAGGCCATTCCTTGTAACCCAATTTATCTATCAATTGGATAGCTAGTGTTCAACAAATGTTCCAGTTGACACTTGATCTTAGTGCTTTGACTGTGTAACTCTGCTAAGTAGATATGTAGAGTTAATATTGGAGCAGCTGTCGAAAATGCTTCTTTCTTCCACCCAACCCTCTCTCTTTAAGCATACCTGATTTGTCCATGGAACTCATTATTAGTAGATACAATTAAGCCAAAAGATTAAGTTTTTAACAAGTTCCATTTCTATGTATACCAACACCACACCAGAAACATACATTATAGTTTTAAAATCTCTCAAGCTTCCTTCTCAAACTGTCATACAAACAAAATATCACCTAAGAATTATATGAAGGACTTGATCCTGTTCCCCTTGTAGTCAATGGCATTCCAATTAAATCAGCTCAATCCCACATATTTTTGCTTTAGATCTATTTTTTATATATATATATGTTGCCCTATATAGATTATACCATATGCTCTCATAACATCAATAATGGTTCCCACTGACTTACAGCCACAACTACCAGAGAGGTACTGCAGTTAGCTCCTGCCATCATCCTGGAAAGTTCCTGATAAATCAGTGGGAATTTTATGGACTGGCTTTCTTCTCCCAGGAACAAATGCAAACAGTGTCACTGTCTGGACACTTGTCTTCTGCACCAAGACTAATGCATCAGTGTGCCGAGAAATGCCATTCTGGTCTGTCCTACTGCACCATTTCCCCTTCAATATCTTGCATTTAGGTTCCTATTCTTTAAAAACTGTTCATTGGGAGAACATAGGTAGTGTTAAACCAACACAGATTTCTGTCTGTCATTCATACTATGGTGCAGTCATTTTTCAAGTCACGGGAACTTGCTAATTTTAATGAGATCCACATAATGAAACACCCCACTTCAGAAACTTATCACCTTTCTGTCTTTAAATATAAACTTTGAGGACACATTTAGTAACACTATAATCTTGTTACAGGGATAATACTCTTCTTTTTAACGGTGATTAGCAGACTCTCTTAATAATAGCATCAATTTTTCCTTACAAAGCCAATGCAATTACTGCTGGAAAAAAAAAAAAGGCTAGATGTCAGAAAACATAAGCTAGCTGCTCTTCCTAAACAACATGCATCTAAACTCTTCTGCTAGGCTCCTTCCTGTCCTTTAGCCCTTGCTCTTCATCTGTATCCTCACCATACGCTCGGTTCAGGAAGTATGAGGAGATGCTGCAGTCCGCCAGCTGTTCCCAAAGCAAGCGTGGAAGGGTTGAGTCCTGCCCAGCTTCCCCTCGGTGGGGGCACTTACTGGGGTTTCTCCTCAATTGGTTTTCAAACTTACAAGAACGTAATTATCACTGACATTCCTGCCCTTTTGTCAAGTTTGGTTGAAAAAAAGCAGCAATATTAGGAGCTGATTGACAGGTAAAGCAAATGATCGTGTAAGCCTCATTTCTGTAAGTACACAACCTAACGAAAGCCATAGAAATCTACAGAAACTCTAAAGCCCTGCGTTAGAAATACCGCTAGCTGCATGATCTAAGTTAATGCTTCATTTGTATACGGGTGTGTATTTAAAGATAATTAATATTAGCTGTGACTTTTGAGTCTGGTATCAACACAGTCTCCCTTTGTAGTGCCTACAGTTTTGTAAATGCAAATAATTTTGAGTTCAGTTTTGCATTTTTAATTATTAGCAGGCAGAGTTCCTTTGGTATTTAACTGCTTAACCATGACTCAGGGTAGAGGCACACATTCATGCCATTAATTGTGACTAGGATTTTCAGGTGTAAAGAAATCAAAGTGGATTTTAAAAGGAAAAAGATTAACCCCCAAGTGAATCTTGAACAGAAGCACTTGAGATGCATGGGCTTGGATTTATGTTTTAAAGCTTTGGTCAAAGAGATTTCCTTTAGTTGAACCAAGGTAGTGTATGTAATATTAATACAAATTCACAGTCTTATGAACATTTACTGTATAGTACTGGGGGGGGAGGAGATATACTGTGATATTAAAAAAAAGCCATATTATTTCGAGGTAGGCATGCCAAAAGCAGTTCTCTGGAACAGAAGGTGGCCTAATTATTAAAAGAAATGGCTTCCATCTCTGTGATGGTCTGACTGTTTGTGGATAAAATCCTACAACTGTGAAGGGCCTCATGCACTGCAAAGAAAAAAAAAGGGGGGGGGGTATATGGGAAATCAAAGTGTTCAGCAGCCATACATCAGAGAGACTATACAAGAAGGGTATCGTATTTTTAGAGACCTCAGAATTCCTGAGCAAAGTAGTAGTTAGTACCAGGTCTACATCAAAAGAAAACAACATTCTGTGTCATCGCTGGCCTCCTCTGTGATGTTTTGCCCTCAGCTTCATAATACGCAAAAAAAGTCATGGTTAAAAAAGACAGACTGTCCCTTTAAAATTAGATCATCCCTTTTATTAATATGCAGAATGAGTTGTCAATTGACCAAGCAACAAATGTACATCCTCATATCCTCATTTTCACTTCTATCTATGAATATTTTAAAACCCTAATGTGTGCTTGGCCATTTGGGTTTTAAGCAAAGACTTATCACAGTGTAAAACCCCTCATTTTTATCCCTTCGCTGAGGGCTTCTTTTTCCCTTTTCCAGGGTGTCATTAAAAATCTGATGCCAAGAGCTGGGACTTGGCAAGGTTTGCGATATAATTTGCAATCTGCAGTGTTTGCTGGCTAGCCCCCACCTGCCCCCCCTCTCTTTTTCTGCTCCCCCCACCCCCTTTTTCTTCCCCCCCTTTTTTTTAACCAGCCTGCCTGCTAGAGTCAATAGGGGGCATCCCTCATCTGTCTAAAAGAAAAATAGCAGCATACTAATTAGAATTCTATTTGCCAGAAGCCTCGGAGTTGCTGTGCTTATAGATTTCAAGCTTCTTTTGTTTGAATTAAATTGCCAACTTCCCCCCCCCCCCCCCCCCAAAACCCTTCCCCGCTCCCTCCCTTCCTTCTTTGCACTAAGCATGAGAGAGCGGGTGCCTTATTTGATTGAAAGAGGGGGTAGGGGGATGGGGAGGAGGAAAGCCTTAGCTATGGAAATGCTGAGGAAATGTCAGGGTTGTGTTTAAAAATGCCTGGTATGCTTTTCAGTGCCTGACTCCTGTCTTTCTAGCAGGGTTGTGGAGGGGAGGGAAGGGGGCCTGGCATTAAGCACAGGCACTCTGCCCCTTCTCCCTGACACTGAAATTCTGGGGGAGAGCTGACATGCTTTTCCCCAGCTCAAAGCCAGATGGTTCAAGCTTGGATAAAACCTTGGGATGAGATCACAAAGCTTGTTCATAACAGAACACACAACATCTCTGTTTTTCTGTTAATACCTCCTTTTGTATGCGTTGTGTGGGGTGAGGGAGGGGCCAGGGGATATGTCATAAATCCAAAGGAAAATGTCATATTTAACATTAATTTGTTTTCATAACCCTGTGAAAGATTTCAAGCTTTCCCCATTAAAATGTCATAATTAACCGACGGGAAATTTTATTACAAATAATTTCTTAATTTCACGAATAACTGAGCAAAATGCACGTCCAGGAGGTTTTTTTGCTGTCCTAAAAAGTCTGAACATATATATAATTACTTTTATTTACATGCAAAGATGGGTTCCACAGAGCACACTTCAATCACGGCCACATTTATGCAACTTCCTAAGTTTAGGTGACTAAATAATATTAAGCGTGCGTTCACTTGCCATCACCATGAATTATGCCCATGCACAATACGGCCATTGACTGCAGCCATTCACAGTCAAGTCTCATGCACTGATTCACAACTGGGGATAAGCAAATCATGGGGACAGAATAATGCATTTGATGATCTTCATATTCCTCATAATGACAGAATGCTTGCAAAGGAATAAGAATTCTTTTCAAATGCATTAATCAGTCAAATTTACTTGACATTCTTCATGGATTTGCTCTCTCCTTACAAATTCTGAACAGAGCTCACCTATAGCTGTGATGGGCACTCTCAAATGGCACTGCTGTTTTTCCCTACCCAGATAACATTACATCGACTTATTTGACTTCTGGCATAAATACTACATAAATACTTACTATACAGCAAGCTTAGAAAAAACTGTATGCATCAGCTTAAAGCTTGCTATCCTTACAGCTCATTCATTCCAGGGCAGTTGTTTCCTACAAGTCCCTGGAAGGACAACATATTATGGACAGGAGTACGAACAAGGGAAAAAGCTAATTCCAAGTTTGTCTTGTTGGTCTGACAGTATTATAAATCAGTAATTTGTAAAGCCAAAGTCTATTTCTGAAAATTTAGACCCTTAAATTTAGTGTAAAAATAATATTAAAATATGACATCAGGTTTGACCCTCTTTTAATTTTTCTTTTAAATCACGAAACCTTTAAGAATAAATGATGTTCTAATTTCCTGATGGAATTTGGGTTCACACCTGAAAGACTATCTTTTCCTCTAAAAAAGATTATATATGTTTCATTGTAGTATATTTGATTTTGGTTTAGTAGATGCTGTGATAATTTTTTGCACAGTCCTTCAAAATATATTTCCTGAAAAAAGACAAAGCTAAAGTACCAGCTAACCATTGCATTTTTATGTATTCATTAAATATAAGATCTTACAGGAAAGAGGGAAAATACAGACATTAGTAACTCTTACATATACTCCTTGGTGCTATTACATTTTAATTAGCACAGTTTGCAGGCTGTAACCTTTCCTAGGCCTACATGATGCATGAATATTTTATTTGCATTACTATAAAGTAAAAATAATTTGATTATCATTCGTACTATTTATGATTACATGTTTCTAGACACGCACATAGTCTCTATTTATAGCTGAATTTAACATTCCTAAATAGCATAGAGTGCTGACAAGCAAAGCATTGATGTTTACAGTATCATGCAAACCCTGAAGCCAACCATGTTCACATCCCTTTGAATTACTTTTCCAATTCAAAGCCTCGAAGAGCCCAGTCCTCCTTTATCTCTTCTTGTTATAAAAAGTGGCAGGAGGCAGAGTGGCAGAATGACCCACAAGATGGCACCTGTCACCAGTGGGATTTCTTCTGCCTTCTGCAGGCCAAATTTTGTTTGAACTCACTATGGCCTCTGTCATATCCTCATTTTCCCTTCCACTCTTGCCTTTCCTTCTTAATCCCCTTCGTGCAGGCTCAGGCTCTGTTTACTCAGCTTCCAAAACCCTTTTTTCTGCAAGAAGCCAAAGTAAAACTTCATTCAAAGAGGGGGCTCAGGATTAAGAGGCAAACCCTGTGCAGGAGGAAGCCAGCTACAGCACCTGCCGCCTTTGCCTGTCCTCACTTAAAGACAGTTTCTCCTATATGTGATTACCAGGCTCATTCTTATAGATGTGCATCCGAAATACATGATTACTTTAGGTCTCAAAGGTGAGGGAGTTGATTAGCTCTCTAATGAAGCTTTTTGTTATTACTTACAGGCAAAGTACATCACACAGATGGAGTGTACCGTAGGACTGCTTCTTTATGGTGGGCCAGACGTATTTTAACTGGTAAGAGCATCTAGAGCAATGAGGTGAAGCGGTTTCTATAAATACGGAATCAGTGGAGTTTTGAAAAAACAGATTAAAGGCAGTGACAGAAAACAACAAACAAGCACTGCAAGACCATTAGGCCTAATGCCCCAAAAATTAAGCCGATAGTTCATTTGCTACACAAGTCATTTCATACTTCACCCAAAATTACATAGGTGAACACTCACCAGTTGCCTAATACAGTTAGAGTAAGTCAACAAAGATGATGTTGATGAACATCCCTCTTAACTTTGACTACACAAAGGGCCAAACCCAAACACTCTTACAGGGACACAGCACATGAAAACCTTCAAGCTGTATGTCACTGCATCACTTAATTTCAACAACTGCAAAGGAGAATTGTTCTTCCACACAAGGATACAGCAGATCACTGGAACCTACACAGAGCCTGGAGAACCAAGCAGCTCTTCTCTTGGGGCATGAACCCATCCTAGCCCCTGCTGCTACCCTACCTCCAGCTTTGAAGACTTCCATGCCTTTGGGTTTTCCTATACCTTGCTGTGCCTCAGCACAGCGTGTTGGGCTGTTGGTTTCTTCCATCGATGTGTTTGCGGTTTGAAAAGGGAACATAACTTACATGCTGCTCCTAATTGTCCTCATCCTTCCTGTCAACCTCAAAAATGCACCTAATTACCCCAAAGCATAAACAGAGTCTTTCAGTAGCCACCAGAAAGGGCAGGAGAAAAGAATGGTTCAAAGTTTCTCTTATTCCTAATGAAAGAGGGTACAAGCCTTGAGTCTTACCTAGGGAAACATATAAAGTCATTAAGAATCTCAGAGTTTCACCAAACCTAAGAAACTCTTGTTTACATGATCCTTTATACCAAGCCAAAACTATTAAAACCAGAGTTACCTTTAGACAGAAGTTAATTATAGTGTTAAAAATAGTTGTTACTATTGTGAAACCTTTCAAATATTAGCACCACCCCAGTGGTTAAGGATATCCTTTCAATAACTGTCCATGATTAACACAAACAGCAGACTGCAGTCGTGCAGCCCATAGAAGTTGCTTTTGCTGCAAACATCAGAAGCAATTCTCATCTCTCATGCAATAAACATTTATTTTACTGAAATTCACCGGATCCTGGAAATCAGTAGAGATCTCAAGAAGTCATCTTTATCTCATAAGCAAACTGAGAAATAATCTAGGGGTTCTTGTAAACCCCTCAATAACCTCCTTCTGAATTAGAAAATATGGATTTATAAAACTGAAGTGGGTCAATGAATCATACCAATTTGCCTTGATTTTTTGGGAAGGAGAGTTTTGTTTTGATCTTCTTGATTCCTCGTTTCGCAATGACTTGTATTTCATTTTTTTTTTCTGGTAGATTATGAAATCAAGTAAATCCAACCCAGGATGAACCATTTTGATCAATCTGAAAAGCAGCTTTTTTTTTTTTTGAGAATTCTCCTCTGCCAAGAATTTGAAAATGTCACATTTCATTCCAGTATGAATAGCAGCCAAATTCCAAACCCTCCAAACCCTTTGAAAAACTGAATTTCTGCCTTTTTCACAACTCCAGAATTAATTCTTTTCCTCAAAGACTGCAGGGTGGCTTAAGAAAGTGGTCAGCAATTACAGATAACACGTGGGTGGATTGTAATAGCATTAGCCTTTTAGGAGCAAGGCCAGGATCATGGAGTAAGAGCATCTTGAGGGAAGACTGAGAAGCACCAGCTCTCCCAGCTCCTGGCTCTCAGTGAAGCCCAAGCATAGGCTCCAATGCCTCACATCAAAGCAAGATATAGACGCTGAAGCAAACGCCAGCATTTCCTAGCTCCCACTGAGTTTCTATCAATATTCTTAAACTTTAAAAAAGAAAAATACAATCTGGCGTAACTGCCTTAGAAGACTGCTGACTACTGCTACATGAGCCTCTCTACAACTGGAACCTATACAGGGACATAAATCCAAGAGCTGACCTGTAGCTTTGCACCCGGCCAAGGAAGCTATTAAATTCTTGCTGATTTAAGTTACTCTCCAGCAGTGTGGTGCCATTGCTTTAGAAAACAATAATAATAAACAAAATAATAATAATCTCCCGTTGTCCCCATAGGGAGCAATTTCCCAAAGATTGTGATTTTACCAGGGAACTATTTAAGAGAACTTGGAAGTCTTGAGGCTAGGTCTGCACTGGATCACAACTTGGTGGCATATCAAGGCACCACACTTGCTCATCACACTTCACAGAAATCTCACCTACCACAGACCCCCTCTGGAAGGATTCTGGCATAGGCAAAAGCACCATTCAGATGGAAGAAGCCTCATAAAGGTCACACAACCACCTAAGTCACGCATGTAAAAACCACAGCATCCCATGTTTACTGTACACATTTCATAGCCACTCAACCAGACCCAAACACTGTCTCTTCAAAACAGGCCAAAGCCATCCCACCATCTCCAGCAGCAAGCAGGATAGTCTCCTTCCTTTCCACACTACCAATGGTGGGCCTGGCAGAGGACAAGGCACAGAACATGCTGCCCAGCCTTTGCAAGGGTTACCTGTACTTCGCTCTGAAAGGAGTTTTGGGTTTGAAAACTTTGCAATTAAACTCATCTACAGACAGTGCAATAGAACCAGAGACATCCTTTGCGTGTCAAAGACAGCAATCATTTGTGCTTTTTTAACCACTGTTGATTCACAGCTTTTCCTGTGTGATCTCCATTGCTTCTGCTGCTACCATACTTACACGCTCAAAACAACAGGCCTGTAGAGCAACACATGAAGAAAAAAAGACATTCCTTATTTATAAAAATAAATAAGACAGTAGTATCACATGGCTGTGTTTTCTTGCATTATACAAATCCTGTATGAAAACTCTAACCTGTATATTCTTATAAAACACTGTCCCCTGTAATATCTCTTTGGTTTTGTAATTATTTTAGGCTTTCCACTCAGGAGCAATAAAAAGAGCTTATATTTAACCAGCACTCAGATTAAATAACTTTGAAATTGTGCCTTGTAGTTTTCTTTAATATAATTAATCTCAAAATCTCAAAATGTCACTCCCCCCCACCTGGTGATAGTGTCATTGGAGTGGACTGGGAAGAGACAACAAGGAGAAGGATATTTTGGTTTTCATCCCAGTTAACCATTTTTTCTCCAAAACAAGACCATAAAAATCAAACAAAACCAGTAAGAGATAATTCTCCACCAATAAACTGATCAAGGGCAAATTTTCTGCAGACTTGCTAAACTGTCATAAAGGGAAGGAGGTAGAGATCAAATATACTGTTGAGCAAGGAAACAGAGAGCACAAACTTTGTCCTCAGCTCAGGGACAATGATGCTCAAAGATTAACCCACCCTCTCAATTAACACCTCACATGAAAATCCCAGCAAGGTCATAGGATCTGTGCTGCAACTCGGTCAATCAGCATTGCCTGCCTCCATACAAACCAAGATCGAATGCAGAATTAACACTGGTCCCCTCGCTCACAGACTCACGTCAGATTAAGCCCTTGCATGGAGGAGATATGAAAAGCATTTCTAATTAGGGTCTGAGGTTACTGGTTAAAATGCAGTCGAGCAGTCTACCAACCATTCTTCTCCCCCCTTTTTTTTATAATTTTAATTAAACTCAGATACTATTTAATTCCTACCTGCATATATTTAGTACTACTTGAATGCAAACCTGATAAAGAATACTCCTGATCCCCACTTAGCTGCCACAAGCACTTATTAAAAGGAGGGTGACTGTCTTCAAGATCTTCCATGGGTCCCTTTGCAATAATTACTTTTTCTATCAAATGAAGAGCATAATATTTTTCTGTAAATAGATTTTTTTTTTTTGCTTTCTGAAACCTTGACTTCTCTACTCTTATAAGGAAATTATAATTACAGCCTCAGTATAGTGGTTAGTCACTGCCTTTCCAGTCCATGAGGAGGCTCTATTTTCCCCCCATATGGGCTCCTTCTACTCTTATTCCATTGCTTATAGGATTCTTGAGACATATCCTTGAGGATATTTTGCACCCTTTTATTCTCACAGAAGCATTGCTGTACATCCTGTGGTTTGGGGAATGGGAGAGAAGGGACTTACCACTGGTTAGAGCCTGTTAAATTATTTGTAATTCTAGGGCACTACAACATTTCTGCCATTGTGTGATTAGCAATCCAGATCTCTCCATAACAATTTTTAATATCTACCATGACCCTGGAAGCCTTAACGCTGCATCTGCAGCATACTAAAGCCTCGTGACTCCAAATTATAGCTCTGAATAATTCAGGAATTGTAATGGTAGCTCAGTACTTATTAAAGCATTGGGAAAACTTTGGGATGCTCATATCTACAGGCTCTTCATTATTATTCTGATTATAAAGATGTTTTAATATATGCTGTTGCTATTCTTACACATTACCACAATACCATTTGTGAAGAATCAGTAAGTGATCCAAGTAAACTCCTGTATTAAGCAGCTATACCTCAGAGTATAAAGGGACTCAGCAAAATGATGTTTCCTTTTTTCAGGGAAGATGAGTTATGTAATAATGCTTACATTAAATTTTACAATCCCAAATTATGTCTTCGACATCATAAAAACCTGCTGCTAAAGCAAAAAATCATATACATATAGAACTTCTCAGGTTTTTCCCTGATATATTAATTTGTCCCTATTTGTGTTAGTGTAAGTCTAACTGGTCTAATAACATATTAAGAGTATTCTGTTAATCCCAAATAAGCAGCTATAATAAGCCTTAGTGACAAGGAGGATCTAATGAAGAGTTGAATTTTTCATGGAGGTTTTATTGGGTTCATCAGCCTCCTCAAAAGTCCAGGCCTTCAGTCGCACCAGCTCCAAAATCTGGAAGAGATTATCTTCAGTTTGCCAAGAATAAACATCTCATTCCTACTAGGAAAACTCCATTTGATGACAAAACTTGTTTGTGTCCTAAACTTTGAGCCACTGCCACTGGATGTCATACTTGAGTAGCTTTAGGTAAGTGTAAAAATTATAAAAAGCCTCAATAACAAATACTGAGAAAACCATGAG